ATCTTTAGCCCTCCTTTTGTTATTAATATAGTTATAGAAAGACTTTTTGTTGTCCCTTACAGAGCTGGCTAGTCTAAGTTCCAATTGGGCTTTTGCCCCCCTGATTATCTCCCTACATGCCCTAACTTCCTCCCTGTATTGATTCCTGGATGCCTGCCCATTCTTCCAAGACTTATAGACATCCCTTTTTCTTTTGAGATGTTCCCAAATCTCCTTTGTCATCCAAGCTGGTTTTCTACCCCGGCGGCTCGACTTCCGGCACACAGGGACAGCTCGCTCCTGTGCCTCCAGAATTTCCTTATATAATTGTTCTTATCTCATTTTGTCTGTCTGTCTTTCAGGAGGGCATTACCAAGCAAAGTTTATGGCAGCAACTAGAACTTACTCATAATCTAGAACAGGGAAATGGAGACTGTATAGTGTCACGATAGTTTGGAGCAAAAGAGAATCTCAGTGTCTTTCCTGTGCTGCTAATTAACTCTCCTGCTTCAGCTGAAGTCTTGTTTCACACGATAGTTTTCTCATCTGTGTATGTTATTATAATAAATATAATACTTAAGATCTTCAGACAAAGGATGATGAGTAAATTATCATCATTACCAGATTTCTTGGCTGCCTAACACTAGGTTCAGGGACTTACGTGAATGGAAATGGACTTCAGTGCAGCAGTACTCAAAAACCATCAGTCGCTCTCCTTTCCCAGAATGGAGGTTGTTTTTTTAACTGGCCTGTAACCCCACCAACTTTATCTTTCTTTTCATCCTCTTTTCTTCTGCTGTTCATTATTCTGTCCCACTTGTAAGCCCAAATGCCTCTGTCCCAGAGAGCATCTATTGCTCATGTAACCGTTACGTAGTGTCAGATTTGTTGTGTTGGGTCAGGTCACTTGCTTGCTGTTGCTCATGCAACTGCCACAATTAGTGTGAATTTACTCTGTTACACCTCTTGCTATTTTATGTTTCGCAGATGTGGGTCAGGCAAAGTAAAAGGAATGGGAGTTTTGGGTGTCTCTGATTCCTTCTGCCATGTCAGAGGTTCTCGTTGACTCTGCTCCTCTCCAGAAAACGCAGTAGAGAGAAATTAAAATGGATAATGTTTTTCCTGCAGTTGTGGTTGTCTTGTGCCTTCTTTTTTCTGCTCCGTTCTATTTTGTTCTTCCTTCATCTCCACAAAGGAAAGCCTTCACAAAGCTCCAGAAACGTGTGATGCTCACATGCTGTGTGGGCTGTGCCAGCACTGGGCCTACCTTTTGTCTTGTGTCTCTGAATTCTGAGGCTGAGGAGCCACTGCCATAAAATACTGAAGGTCAACATCGACAGTGGCTGTGCCACAGATGATTCAGTTCAGTTCTAGGTGATGGCTGACAATGCTACAGGTTGGACGTGACTCCTGGCCAGTTTCTCCTTCCTCTTTGTGTGGCAAAGTAAAATGATTCAACTGGATGCAGCCTGTGGTTGTCTTGAGGCATGAGTTTGCCAAGGATTAAAAAGGGGAGAGTAGTTAATAAAGAGTGAGGGCCAGACTGATAATGATGTGAAAGTGTGAAAAGATAAAGAAAATGAAAGTATTATTTGGAAGACATGAACAGCACCTGCTAAGGAACGGTTATTTCAGAGTTAATAATTATTAATTAATAATTATTCGAAATGACGTTGTTATTGCTGTCCAGTCATGGGTGATGGGGTTGTGTGTTTTATTATTCATCAGTAAGGCAGCTGCGTGTCTTCCAGCGGTGTGCTGCTGACGTGTCACTCAAACTGGTTTGTTCTTTCTCTCATCCTAAGAGGATGCTGGGTTTTGCCGTGAGGGATGTAGGAACGGGCATGCGCCCCGCGCTCAGCGGGGCCGGCAAAAGCCACAGCCAAGTTTTATGGTTTCCTTATTGAACACCCCCACCAAAAAAATGTTTTCCAAATCAAGACTCCTATTTTTTTGGGGGGGTTGTTTTGAGTTTGCTGGGGTTTTTTGTGTGGTTTTTTTTTTTCCAGTTTGTTGTTTGTTTTTTTTTTTTCCTAATTGTTTCCCTTGTTTTTTACCTTCCCCTACCCCCAAAGACTGACAGCGACTCCCTCACGCTTCCCAGTTGTCAATCCCACCCTGCTTGAGTCCCGGTTGGGAAAACATATTTTATTCTTCTTCCATTCCTCTTCTGTTGCAGATTTCGACTTGAACTATTTTTGGCATTGGAGCAAGTTTACAGACTACGTGCAATGCGTCCTGACCTTCACTGGTGTAACTGGTTACATCACTTACCTCTGGCTTGACTCATCTCTCTTCGTGGAGACGCTGGGCTTCCTCGCGGTGTTCACCGAGGCCATGCTGGGCGTTCCCCAACTCTACCGTAACTACCAGAACAGGTCTACAGAAGGAATGAGGTATGGTGTTTGTCTTACATAAAGCAAGGAAGCGCGTGCGTCTGCGTGTAGGTAAATCTTTGTGTAGCGTGGGAATACTTTTTCAGGCAGGGAGATGTCATCTTTCTAAATTCTACTTGAAAACACAACAGCTGTCGGAGTAGATTCTCTGTCAGTAGGAGCTGGTGCAGCGCTGCTGAAGGCAGTGGGAGCTCAGTCGCTCCTCTGAGGTGTGACCCGTTGTCCAAGTCCAGCTGGCCAGTTCCAAGGTGAAAGACGTTTTAGTAAGAGAAACATGGAAAACTACAGCTGTTGCCATTAGCAACGTATTGTCGCTCAGCTCCAGCTGTGCTACACTGATAATTGGAAATGGGCTAAAGAGATCTTGCATATCAAAAGCAGAGGAAGAAAATATTTTGAGCCTGCAGCAAATAACTCTCTCAATCTAACTCACGTATTAGCTCATCACTTTGTCTCGCATAACTACTCATCACTTTTTCATAATACATTATTATGTATGTAGCACATGACATCACTATGTATTTATGTGTAAAAGCTCGTAACTGACATCTAAAAAATCTCAAACGACGTTTACAGTCATGATGTTCTGTGAACAAGCGTGGGACAGAAAACTTTAATCTCGTGCCCGCTGTTGGGGCATTAAACTGGATTATCTTTTCATACTGTTTACTGGGGATCTCGGTCATAACACGAAGATTTCCAAATTGCAAAGGCAACTTGTGAAACTTGTTAAGAAGGAAAATGTTCATCGTGGTGCATCAGCGCACGGGTCTGTAGAAACAGTACAGCAGCAAATTCAGTTCATGGAGTGCTGTGATCATTTGTGACGTCAACTTTTAAGTTCTTTTCTAGCTTGAAATGTTGTGGAGGGGATCTTCAGAAATTTGCTTTGATACTTAAGGCGTTTTTTAACTGAGGTCCCCTTTGGTACAGAGTGAGTCAGGATTTACTTCCAAAACAATGGGGTATTTTTCATGCACTGCCTTGGAAAATTCTGTACCTGTGATATCCAGAAGGCAATTTACCTACTAGACCTTCTTCATGCTCTGGTTTGACTTTTCCCTTTATGTTTTTTATCTGTAAATCATAACGCTGCATTATGATAGCTGCTGCCAGATTGTGTTTTGCTTTCCCTTAGCTCCTCTCTGGGGACCTGAGTTGCAGTTTTCCAATTTCCTGTATATGCTATTTAGCAAATGGAGAAAAATAAAACCCCTTTGTGCTTCACAACACTGCTTTCTTTGTAAAGCATTAAGCACAGAATTGCGGAATTCTCTTCTAAAGCTGCTTGGCAAGAGCTGCTGTGTTTAGTCAAGAGACAATAGCATAAAAGCTCTTGTTCCCTTGCCATCAAACAGAACCAGGTCCAGCAATAGCCACCCTCCTCATCAGCTGTGCCCATGGGTTCTCCTGAATGCATTCCCCTCTCTGGTTCAGCAGTACTTTGCATCGGGCGTTGGTGGGTCTGGGGACTGATGGGACAACGTACAGCTGATGCTGCTTTACTGCAGTTGGAGCATGTTCATGCAAACGCACGTTCGTGCTCTTTCTTTTTTTCAGGCAAAGTAAAATCGATGAGTTTCAAGTGTCTTTGTGGCTTTCTCTTAACGGGGGAGAGCAACGAGAATTAAGCTGTTTGCTTAGTGACCTTCTGGACAATTATCACATCCTGGTGGGAGGTGGTAACTTCTTAAGCTTCAGTAGTTCTGGCACCTGTGGTGCATGGTTGGAGCCCATCGTGTCCCTGGTAAACATCACCACCGTTCCGACTGCCAGAGGAGGTGTTGTTTGGAAGTCCTCATGGCTTGGCCGAGGAAAGCAGCAACACGCATTTCTCTCTTGGGGCAGAATGGGATGCAGCAGCTGATACGTTAAGTCTGTTTCTGCTTTAGCAAACAATTCCTTTCCTAAATGTAAAAAACTAAACTGAGAAAATAGAAATGGTGAATAAGGTTACGGTATGTGGCTGCATCTGATCAGGGTATCCTGCCAGACTGCTCAAACGTTGTATTTTTTCTGATAAAAGGCAGCAAACAAATAACCTTACAGGCCACCCGCCGCCCGTCACCCTGTTCTTTTTGCACGAGAAGTCGAGGGTATGATTTTTATTGTAACAGGGCATGGCTGAAGTGAAAGAATCAGTTATGTGCCTTGTAGTACTCTTGAGAACGCATCTTCCAGTTCTTCGATACCTCTGTTCTGCTGGATAGAGCTCCTCATTGCTTCTTATTTTTATCTGTGTCTCCATGTCTCCCTACTTCTCTCATTTTCCTTCTTTTTGTAGCAATATCATTACTAGGTCCTGTAGTTTTCTCTGTTCTCTGAGAGAGCAGAGACCAAAGGAAAAGTTGGAAAGCAATGGAAATAAAAGCAGAAAGGAGATGCATGCTGAGTAATAGCTTTTGTGGAGGGCAGATTGTGTAGTATGCCCTGATGGGCTGGAAATCTTCCCGTGGTTAAGTAAACAGAACTAAGCTAGTCAAAGGAACAGAAATTTTCGTGTTGTTCTCTTTAACAATTCATCTCATTACTTTTGGAATTAGCACTTTATAGAAACTGAGAGCTTTGTTCAAGCATGTAAGTACTTTTGAATAGTTGCAAACCCAAATAGTGCAGTCATAATTCTATTCATTATGGTAATAACTTTGACAGAAGTGCTTTTGTGATGAACTGTGGTACGAGTTAATACTTATCAAGGAAATAATCACGTAATTTAATCTCTATTCGGTTGAAGAACTAAACTGGTTCTGGCCTGTCACCTAGTAAAAGAGTAGTTTAATGGCATTAATTGTTACCAGGATGGATTAGAGTCATAAGTATGGTTATGTTTGCATCGGGAACGTAAGGAGGAAGGCAACCTCAAAACTCAAGAGCTTCTGAATATAGGAGGCATCCTATGGAAAAAAAAACATTATGAGGTTTAAAGGTTGCTCGTCACTTGTAAATATTTTTTATATTATATGGTAAAATATTTCAAGATCTTGATATCAGAAACACCCCTCCCTCTCATGTTCCAGGAGGCAATGATGCTGCCTCTGCTACGTTTGGGATCTGATGCTCCTCGTACTACCAACTGCTTTTGCTTTGTGACAAAAGTCATACAGACAAGAACTTCCTCTATCATTTGCCTTTGTGTTCTCACTCCTTCGAAGATGCTTGCCTCCCAGTTGCTTTCCCCTTCTAATAAACTGCAGGTCATGAGAAGAGGTAGGGTTCCACGAGAGGCAGTGGAGATGGAGGGGAGGTGGGCTCTGGACCTGGCAGCAGCATTGCTGCACACAGAGGTGGGGACCTGCTGGTCAGCTGAATGGAGGAACCACATCCTGGTGGGGACAACAGCCTTTGTGGAGCTCCTGCAAGGGGGAAAGCGTGTGCTTTTGCACAGGGGTGGGGAGAACCTCGTCTCTGTGGGAGGCACGGGCTCATGCAGGCACTGGTGTTACTGGGCACCCTTCCTAACCCTATCCGACCTGCCTCCCCCAAAGGAGGAGGGTGGAGGGTGTTCCTCTGTATGTCTGTGACAAAGCTGTACGTGTGCTGTCCTACATGGGTCTGTGTCAACCCTGGGACTGCACAAGGGTGGGTTTGTTCCAGGGCAGTCTGTTTATTGCATTCCTGTCTGCTGCCCTGCTCTGGAAAAAATAACTACCCTTTGTTCAAAGTTTTTCACAAAAGCTCATCAAAATCACCTGGCAGCGACCCTTTTTGACTGTCAGCTGCTGCTCCAACCCCATGGAGCAGCAGTTTCTTTTCAGTCTGCTTGGAGTTCAGAGCTGCTGGATGGCAGAACCTCCCCGGGTGCAAGAAGGAGGTCTGGCAGTGGGACTGAACTGGGCTGTGTACCTTGAAGTCTCAGGAGCCACGCTCCAGGTGGTACTCAGATGTGGCCATCAGTGGTTAGCTTGGACACATGCGAGTCCAAAAAACAAGGTCCTCTTACAGCAGTCGGTGTGCTCCTGGTGTGCTCCTGGTGTGCTCCTGGTGTGCCTGGCTTAGGGCCACGTGCACAGCTGGAAGATCTGAGGAACAGAACCAGGGAAGGGCTGTGTCATCCCTCTGCGAGCTGTTTCCCAGGTCTCTTTGCTAGCCCGTGGCCAGTTTCCCGTCTGCTTGGAAGGAACCTTCATCCTGCAGCCTCTGTGGAGTTTGGCTGACTTTGGGTCAAAGGCTCAGGACTTTGCCACCCAGAGCCAGCTGGGACAAGCAGTTCCCCTGCTTTTGTCTTGGTGTGAGCCTGTCTGGAGAAATCTGGCCCGAAAAGGCTGAATGAGGAAAAATCTCAGTATTGCATTCAATGTGCGATGAAATAAGGAAAATATTAATTCCGTCCCTCCTGTGGCTGTGCCGGGTCGGTCACTGTCGTTATCCTGTTTTAAAAACCACAAGTCACTGGAGGGGGAGCAGTCAGCAGTTAGTCTCAGAAGCCAAGAGTTGCAAATTTTAAGAATGCTTTTCCATCCAGAAGTGTTTTACGAGGCGCGCGGCAGCTGCGAGCGCGTTACGAGCCCACCTTTATCCGAAGGGCATCCAGTGAAATGAGTGCAGTGGAAAGAGGTACGAAAGGAAGAAATGATTTTAAATGTGTATCCTGAGATGTTATTTCCTCTTTGTCCTATGGATAATATTAAAAACACTAGAAGACAGTATTTCTTAGGGAGATAAAATTTTGTTGTGGGATGCTTTTCTCTAGTACTGCTCTGCAGCCTTTTCCTTTATGACATTCAGCTCTTGATATAATTTTTTAAGAGAAGCTTTTGACTTCCGAGGACAGCGTTTGTCCTGGCTTTATTGCAAACTCTAGGAAGATTAATGCAAGCTGCTAGATTCTTCTGCCTGTATTGGATTATTCAGGTGCTGGGATGAACAGATCATAGAATCACAGAATGGTTTGGGTTGGAAGGGACCTCAAAGACCATCCAGTTCCAACCCCCCTGCCATGGGCAGGGACACCCTCCACTACACCAGGTTGCCCCAAGCCTCATCCAGCCTGGTCTTGAACA